TGCCCACAATTCAATTTTGGCTAGGCCTAGGGTTTTCTTTGGGTAATTATTTTGTCTTTCAATTGTCTTTCAATTCGTTTGTTCATATAAATTCCACCTGATCAAATCCTACACTGGAAGATCCAGCAAAGTCAGACTCAAGTCAGCCACTATTTACATAAGCCCTTGTACTCCATTGGAGATTCGAAGACTTGGCATGTATTTAAAAAATTTTTTTTTTAATATTGCCTAACTAAAGCCAGCATATGCTGCTGCATCAACGGTCGTTGGCTTACAGTGGATTGTTTTAACGAAAATTTGCTTAGTCTGCCACCGATACTGGTGTCAAGTCATCAAGCACAGGGCGGAGGTGGATTCGTTGGTGGACAGTTGTATTTCCATCGGCAGCAGCGTTTGCCTTTCCTAAGAATTGTATTTCGCTCAAACAACACTGAAGGTTTTAGATTTCATTCGAAGATTAATAATGAAGTATGGTTGAAAGAGATAACTGTGAGCTACTCATGTGAAACAAGAGTTAATACATTGTCAGATATTCATGTAATATCTTGTTACATTACAAAGATTCCAGTTGCAAATATCATAGTTTTGTTCATGAAAAGTCTTTAAAGAAAGATACGCATGAATATTTAACGCATTAGCAGTGGCGCACAGTATCTAGGAATCTCAAAAAGGGGGAGGTGGGTGTCTGATCAGGGTGAACGAAGGTGAAACATGGGAGGGCTACAGTAGCTTGCAATATTCTTCCTCATTCTGGACTGTCAAAAAAGAAGAATAAATTTCATATCTGTTCTGATTATATAACCTCATTTGCATATCAATAAAATTGGTCTTTTATTCATTGCTTGAAATCATTTATATTGGTGTGGGGGTCAGAACTCCACAGTAGAAATACAGCTAAAAAATAAAACAACATACAAACTTTAGCCGCAGAACCAGATTTCTACGACTATGACTTTCTATGACTATGATTTCTACGACTTCAAAGCCATGCACCATTAGTAGTAAACAAAATAAATAATGAAGTACAGGTATGTAATACTATAGTGTAAAAAACTGTTTTGGTTTTAAGCACTTGAAATTCCCTAATGCATTTCCCTGATATTTATTGTGGCAGAGATTACCTCTCGTGTGCCATACACTGTAAAGGTCAGATGTTTGTATTTGACTACTCCACAGCAATGAGAATGCAGGTATATGTTGTGGCATCGTGTGATGTTGATACAGGACTAGATTGATGGCAACAGCTTTCTCTGATACGGGAATTTTTAAAGAAGTTTGTCAATTATTTCAAACATATCATATTACACGGTTTATAGCAGAGCTGTCACGGGCAAGGATACTAATTGCACGCACAATGCTTTATAAATGTGTGCAAGCGTGGCATCAAAATAAATCAGTACAGAGAGCCTCAGATGTTGACATTTTTATTAACAATTTTAGGATTATTATGAACTCAACATGTTGGCGTTCCTGTTTAATATTCATGTACTTGCTCAGCTGATGTTGGTACGTCCCATTAAATGTGATACGAATATTCAATTCGTTAGCGTAATTAATTTAGCTGGTCAGGGGCCATGTGTTGCCTTCGAGCATAATTAATTTACTACCAAAACACACGAGTCTAGTTTCTATCCTGGTTCAACAACATGCATCCCTGACTGATAATGGAATTTCATTTCATAATTGACATACATCTCCGATCTGGTAATGAGGAGAATTCTTGTCAGGGCCCCAGGCTTATAAGTACATAGTTTGACAACGTTCGACGTCAGTCTAGATGCAACTCGGGAGATACTCATAAGCTATTGCATCTTGCCTTTATCAACGAGGTTCCATGCACCTCATTAACATGAAGATGATTATTCTTCACTGTTGTGATATAAATATTAATAAAATTGATGCGTTGGCAATTATCAAAAATGCCTGTGGATTCAGTACTAGTGTTTTGTGCCAAAGAGCTGGTAAGTGTCCTGTTGGATCTGTGTGTGTCCTTGCCCCCTTGCTGTACTGTAGTTCCTGTTTCCCTTACTGGTAGTTGCTCTATGATGATTTGCAGAAATAATGGCAATTTTTTTTTTCTTGCAAAACGTATTTGATTTTATTGCTTCTGGATGGATGAAATAAAGTAAACTGTTAAGTGCATTCTAATGCTGAATAAATCAGGTGTGTAATCATTTTGTATTGCTGTTCAATGAACAATCTGATCCAATTTCTCATGTATAACAAACACAAAATGCATTAATTATGATAAAAATTTGTCAAGTCATTCTTGTCTATTTTTTTTTTTCTTGAGAAATATCCTTTGATGCCTGAGGAGAATAAACAAATTCTATTCCTGTCTTGTATTTTAAGCTAAGCTGTTGTGCAAGGTGATATCGTTTATGTTGGATTTGAGGGCCTTTGCAGCTTAAAGGGAGGTAACTGTTGTCTGCTTGTTTTGAATCAAGAGGCCTTCACTGGAACAGCAGCCTTGCTTAAATTGCAAATCACTAATTGATGAAATTGTAATCCATTGGTTTATGGTCAAGGTTGATTGTAACTGTACAGCTGACTGTTATACTTTGATAACAGAATACACAACAGCTAATCACAGTTGTGTAATTATAATGAAAACTGCTAGTGATCCCTTGGAGAATTTTAAAGGCCATTGTGTTTTAAGAATATAATAAACAATTCAATTAATTGGTTAAGACTAACCCTGGCCATGATGGCTATCATTGCATAGAAGATTTCTACAAAATTTCTGAATTATATAAAAAAATAATCTAGCAGGAAACATGTTTCAGAGTAGCCTTTAAAAATGAACTACTTTTTTTTTTTTAACTTGGCCTAAATATATTGCAAAACAAATTGTTTTAATTTGACATCTCCATTCACACTACTGCCATGTTAAATATTAATATCCATATTAGCTGTTAATTTGATGAATAAATAAGAAATTTATTTTAGGGGGTGTTTTTCAGTAACTTTAAAGGTGAGAATTCATCATTCCCATAAATCTAATATAATAATTGCTTTTGTTGTTAATATTCATTGGCCCATACTACATAGCCTAATGATGCATAAATTTTATATTAGAAAATAATTTTTTTCCAAATATTTATCTTCTCCACTACAGTACATTTTTTTAAAGATCTGATGGTAAATCCTAATTCGATTTTATATTGACGTCAAAACTAAATAATTCTGCATAGGTAGCGATCAAAATTGCTCTTTTGCATGCAAATGCATGAAATTTTAATCAAAATTAGCACCATCAGATATTAGATTTCGCAAATAACGATGAGATATCATCTTGCAGGTTGCTTGTTTCTTCTGATCATTTAGCCAAATGACGGTTGATCAGATCGTCCTGGACAGTTTGAAGTCTTGTTAGCCGCAGTCTAGACTTGTGTGTCTTTAATATGCGACTTAAATTGATGATAAATCAAATTATCCATAGGCTTTTGAATATCTGTTCCATATTGTAATTCATGTGTAATAATTGGGGCTGATATTGTCTCCGTGGCGACGTCCTACTGACTATAAACACAATGACATGTCCTAATTGTTTTTCTTTGTAGGTAAGAGTTTTAACAATTAGGAAAGTCAATTACGCAAATGTCGCTGCTTGTTTTTATTCCTCTTTTGTGACAGAGTGAAAATATACATTCTTCCATTGAACTGGTTTAATCCAGACTCGTTTCAAAGTATTTATTATGAAATAGATTGATTGTAAAACTTGTACTTTATACTTGGGAAGAGATAAATTAAAATGTGACTTATTTTGGTTAGTCTTGCCAAGATTTTTAAAATCTTGATATAATTGCATTATGACTCTGCAAATATTCTGAATAAATAATAATTTAGCAAGTGTACTGGTAGTAGGTACAGTAGGCTATATTTAATACATTCTAAAGTCAGCCTCATGGAATATAAAGTAGGAAACATTCAATTATATTAAAAATATATACAGTGTAGTAATGTCAAATATATTATAATTAATATAATGTTAATATTTTATTTAAATTAATTTTTAAAAATGAATTGATATCACAAGGTATTTACGAAAATAGTGGAATTGTGAATGTTTGCATATACTGTATCTCAGTTTATTTTAATTACATTCTAAAATCAGCCAAATAGAATATATAGTAGGAAACCTTCAATCATATTAAAAATATATACAGTGTAATAAAGGCAAATATATTATATTAATATAATGTTAATATCTTAATTAAATTAATTTTAAAAAAATGAATTGAAAATGGTATCCCAGAGTTTTTGGAACTGTTTGCATATATCTCAGTTTTTTCCTTGTAAACAATGCGGATCTTAAGCATAATATAACCTGGAAAAGAAAAGGACTCTTAACTAATGGAGACACTAAGCAGACAATTGGAACATGTATAAATAGATCCTTGAAGCAAGTGGTTTTGGTCATCTTCTCTCAATTATTAATTATTAATTGAATTTTCTGATATGTTGCATCATCATAATAGTGTAATGTCTTTTTTTTTTGGGAGGTGGGGAGGGGGTCTTCCATGTGTATAATCTTCCACATCTGTCTTTTTTTTTTGGGAGGTGGGGGAGGGGGGTCTTCCACATCTACCTTTTGTTTTCTCCAACATTCTCTTTGGAGTTTTTTGCCTTGGCTTTTGGGAGACGGTTGGTTTGGGGGAAGGTCTTTTAATTTCTGTTTCAGTCTATCTTATAGATGTTCTTACACTCATTCATTGCATAAGACATTACTTTTAGCAGACCTATGTTTTCTTAAAGATATGTATGGTACATTTCTATTGAATAATGTTGCCCTTGCCTGCTTATGTTATCATTATGTTGTCTACAACACAATCTGTATACAATTTGTAAACTCACTTTGAATGTGAAGGATAGACCATGTTCAATGAGATGATGTCACTGGATTACTGTTTTGTTCTCTTTTGTTGTATTTGTTAGTTTGTGTTTTCTCATATTCCTCCATGTTGTTTTAAGCCTTTTCCTGTTTTTGTCTTTCACAGGACTTGGTGAAAAGTCATTTATTGTATGCTGTCCGTGAAGAAATGTTAGAATTGAAAGAGAAAATCAAACTACTCACTGAAGAAAATAACAAATTAAAGAGAGAAAATAATGCACTAAGGCAAACACAACAGACACAGGTCCACCAACACACGCATGCGACATCAACACAAGTGAAACATCATAGTCCAGCGAGATCAGAACAGCAGCAACAGTACACAGAGGTCTCAAACCAAGCATCAAAACAGATTGTACAGCAGTCAACAACAATCCATCAATCACAGATGGGCCTACAACAAGGTGCAATGCACACGTCATTGGTGACCCAGCAAACCCAGCAACTATCAAAGCAGATGCAAACGCCATATCCAATGAATCCGCAAATACCGCAACAGCAGAACCAATTACCGCAGATCACGCCCGATCAACCTACGTACAACCAGTACCAGTCAGTTCCGAGGCAAGATTCAGCCGGTTTCCAAGTTGCGCAGGGAACAAGTAATCTTAGGCAGGATGCATCGTCATCCAATCAGCTCCAACAGCGACAAGACCAGATGCATTACCAACAAGTAACGCAACAACAGACTCAGCAAGCCCACAAACCATGAACTTTGAAAAGAATATATCAATCTACAGGCAATGGTGCTCTCTTTTTGCTAAACCCATAGACATTACCCCGAACAATACGATAAAGGGATGGGGAATGATGCCCTTAATAAGCATCTGTGAGGCGATATATTTTCAATTAAATGCTTTTCTTGTGGGAAGGTAACAACCGTAGGAGACTAACTGACATAGATTTATAAACATTGCTTCTATATGCATCTATGCTCCTTCAGATGCAAAGAATAATGCCAGCTTTTCCTTGTTATCTGACAAGAATTTTTGTCTTCTATGATGATCTGCTACTGCTTAGGACTTTTTGCATTTAGCTTTATGCATTTCAAACGTTTCTATTTAAATTACAGGGAGAAAATATGCGGCGGACTGTGGCAGTTATTAACAAAAAATTTACAGAAATGCAGTAAATATTAAAAATACATCGGTTTATATTACCATTTTGCACTTTTTATGGGAAAGAATATCACGTAATTAGATGGAAGATAATTTGCCCTAAGTAGAATAATTATAAAATAAGATATTGTAGAGTTGTATAAATTTATTTCAAGGTTTTGCTGAATAATGAGGTTAGAGAGTCACAACGAACCAAACTGCCATTTAACCCAAAGGTTAAGAACGTGGAATTTTTTTTAATTTTGGTTTTTTTTTTTTTTTTTCTCAAAATCTTTATATATTTTGCCTTTCTAATGCAATCGTTATTTTTATATATTAAAATGAGCTGATAAGTTTTTAATCGTGATCAAATAAATGTTAATAACATTAACCAAATTACCTTCTATGCTTAAAATTAAAACAATTTCAAAGATTTTTCTCAATCCCACAATCCTAGTGTTAATTTAGAACACTCTTGATTTAGAAAATGGAATAACCATGTGCACTTCGCATAAGAGATTTAGGTATCCCTCATGTTCAAGACAGAATAGTCAATGTTTTTTTTCTCCAACAATCTACACTATATACACCCTTAATGGAATTTGAAAAGTTTGTCGGTATAGGTATTACCTGTATTCAATTTCCGATAATATCCCATTGTTAGCACCTCTGATCTTAGTGCATTTGGAATATTTATTTTATCCAGACTAATCCAGACTATTGTGAAAATCCCTTAGATAAGAAATGGAATAATATTGCACAAAATTATCTATTGCAGTACTGCTTAAAATATAATATAACAGATTCCCTCCAATAAAATGTATTGTGAAATATTAAATTGTTGAGTTAATGACAATGCATTTGCAATCTTATTTAAAAACTAATATTACCTCCATTACTAACATGGATAAATATGATATTGTGATTTACAAATAATCTTTTAATGTGCTATGTGCGTGCAGTACTTAGAACCGCATATATCAGCACAAAGTTATCACATTAAAATCTTCATGATTAGCACTTGCAAGTTGCATGGTTATATGTGACCATCCACCACAGAATGCACCGGTGGTGCATCTCGCTGGTAGTGTACCTCGCTGGTGGTGTGCCTCGCTGGTTATGTACCTCGCTGGTTGTGTACCTCGCAGGTGGTGCACCTAGCTGGTGGTGCATTTCGCTAGTGGTGCATCTCGCTGGTTGTCCACCTCGTAGGTGGTGCATCTCGCTGGTTGTCCACCTCGCTGGTGGTGTATCTTGCTGGTGGGACGGCTCTTTTTGTGGTGGGTGGTCACAAAAGTGGTTATTCATAATGAAAGCCAGAAATATTTTATTTACTTAGGCCATTAAATGTTTCATTAAGAAAACCTATAGGTAGTTGTTACTGGACGTTTAAGTAGTATACAGTATATAAGTACCGTAGTTAAGAATTTCTTGTTAGAGAATTAAGTACCACAGTATCCAATAATAATCACAACATCACTTATAATCTCAAGCTATGTTAATTTGGAAAATGGAGTTAATTAATCTAAACAGTTAATCTTATTTTTAATCATTCATATTTCTTAGTAAGTACATGCAGCATTCTTACCCCCTCTGTATTTTTCTTTGAAAGCTAATGTTTAAAACTGACCTGTAGGTTTGTATAAGGCGGTATGATACTACTGAAGCGAATTTCTGTTTGAGTATTTGACTGAATGCAAATTTTGGGATTTATATGTGTATAGTACAAAACATTGAGACACAAGCAGATTTTTAAGCCAAATTTAATTTTTTTAACAAAACATGTTTCATGTCCTCCATAGTTTTTTTTTTATGAAGGATGATAAAAAACAAGTTTTTTTGTTTTTTTTTATTTGGCTATAAATAAGAATTTAAAAAATAAATCAATAACACATTTGAAATATTGATGTAATGAACAATGAAAGAATTTTGTTTCAAGGTAAAAACTTGGCATCGGCAGAATATAGTGAGAAATATTAGGCTGCTCCTTAAATTAAGCCTTACATATGCCAAAAAAAAGTCTACTTTAGTTATTTCAAGAATATAAATATTTAAAAAATTGGCAAGGAAACAAATGTTGCAATGATATCTATTGAGATAATAAATTGTATATTGGTGTATCTAATCAAATTGGGTATTTTTTTAAATTATTAATTATTGGTATCATCATTATTATTTGAGGTCTCCTCAATTTGTACTTATCTTTTATTAGAGGATTTTAAAGGTTGTTCCACATTTAAATACGGTAGACAAGCATTCATTAGAAGCTTAGAATATCCGACTACCTCTACAAATTGATATAAATACTTTTCTCAGATGATGACTATATACAGGTCTTATTAAAATATACTTAATCACAATTATCACCAGCGAATAAGCTTCCGTGTCCACTGCTTATAAAGACATCGGAAATCTATTTTTAGAATGCAATTGTGTTGTAGGCCAAAATATATACGAAGAGTAATTATTATGATAAAATATGACTATAATGCTCCATTTATTCTTAATTGACCCAGTTCTTTGACTAATCATGTACACTTATATGGCCTGCTATTAATTGGAAGCTGGTTTTCTGTAGCTTGTAATGTTTAGCTGTCAGTTTATTATGTTTACTGACCATTTTGGTTTGCACTGTAAGTCCTCTCAAGACTATCCAAGTGACATGCCTAAATATGGTCATGATGACATCACATCATGACATCATAACTATGGGCATAACAACAGTTTTTTGTCAAAGAAAAATTGATAAGCTAAACAGAGGTTGATCATATCAGAGAGCTTTCGATCACGATTTGGCAGCAAGATTTCAAATGTAATGGCAACACGTAGAGTCGTCTATGCATGCGAGAACGTTAAGTTCTTGTCTAAAATGTATAACATGGACTGACTTGAGCTTACATTGCGCAGAGATCACAGGATGGACACAGATGAGTGATTCCGTCCCTGATTACATGTCACATGCCAACGTAGGTGTACTACTGTTACCTGACCTCTCTTAAATATATACCGTTTTGTTCTGATCATAAACAAATGAATTTTATATAATTTCTTTATCCCTTCCATTATTGGATTGAAATTAACTAATGAGCCATGATGAATGTTCACCGGTTTAATAACCCTGTTTAGACCGCAGCCTATATTTTACCAGGTTGAGACTGTTTAATTCTTCTGAAATTCATAGAAGTGTATATCATAATAATGTTACGGCTTTTCTAATAGAATTTTTTTGCAATCAGTTACAGGGTTCGTATTATATTTTTGAGGCAATTTATTGCAAAATATGCTTAGCTGTTGGTTCTGGATAATTTCAGTAATAGTGGGTGAATAATAATGTAACATTTGGTATAACAGTATAAAGGATATGCAGTGCATATGCACTTATGTCACAAAATGTTGTATTGCACAGTAATACCTGCACAGTGCAGCACATGTTTAATTGAAAATGCGTCTTTGCTCAAAATACCTACTAATCGCACACATGATTCAATATTTTTATGTTAATTAAAACTTGCTCACTGTGTGCGTAATAAATTAGCAAGCATGACCAAATTCCCATTTACTTTTCCCTAACCAGTTTTGTTAAAATTAATTTGAAAGACCTGATAGAGGGGGTCTACTAGTCCACTTTTCTGTGCAAGGGGTACATCACTGATTTTCACTATATGATAATCAGTTTTGGTCATATTCAGAAATTAAAAGGTTTCTACTTGCAAAAGTGTAAGGTACCTGAGAGTAAATGATGTTGGTACCTGTAATACAATAATGTTGGTACCTGGGAAAATATATTGCTACCTGGGGAAAATATTGTTGGTACCTGGGAAAAATTATATTTGTACCTGGGAGGAAATGATGTTGGTACCTGGGAGAAAATTCTAAGGATATTTTTTTTTAATGAATTTCTCCAATTGCATTCTTTTTCTCTAATGTAATGATTTATTTATTATTACTATTATTTTTATTATTGATATTAATCAGCTGTGATTGTCATTCCATCATGGACCAAGCTAAGCTATCTAGTTGGCTGTTCAATGTACTTGTTATTGTTAAGATTGATTAAAAACTCCAATAAACAAAAACCTCATCTTGTGGACATTAATTTCAATATGTAATGCATGTTCTAAAAAGTGCGAGGAGAGTTGTAGATTATTCGCCCATTGCCAGGCAGTGCTCATCATAGTGTGGTTGTTTACGTTTATTTGATCTATATTTCGTGACTATCCACAATGTGCAATCTATTGGAACTTCATTCCCTGTGGAAAATTCTATTCCTGCTATATTAAGCCCAACTCTATGGAGAGTCTCAATTCTGGATATAGTCAGACCTCCTACACATTGTGAGTAGGAGCCTGTTGCAGAGATTGCTGTAGCCAAGGACAACACAAAATTTTATTTAAACCCTCCAACTTCCATTGCACTGCCAACAACAAAGACCTGATATATTACTTCAGGTTATGATTTTAAATTTAATTCACAAAGACCTTTCAATGGTGAAAGCCAGAAGCCCTCCAGAAACCAGAAGCCCCAGACCACCGCCTTAAGGCAGTGGCAGTGGGCTCCGAGGGAACAGGTACCCTGTTGGTGAGAGAAGCCAATCATTTATTCAGAGAATACTGGACCTGGTTGCTGCCCTAGCCACCGGCTTGATGCAAGGCTGGCACCCGAGGGGTTCAGCAACAAGCTGGGGGTCCGACTCCCAGTAGAATTAATCGAGTGCTGTGGAAATAGGTTTTCCCTGACAATCTATGCAGCTAAAAATCAATGTATTTCTCCAAGACGATAGGATGATGTTTTCTTTACTTACAGCTAATTGAATAAACTGATTTTATGGTTCTAACAACAGATACCACATCTGTACCTAAATAAATTTCTGAACTCTGAAGAACACAAAATACCTTAACGTAAAATTTAGGAATTCAAAATGTACTGCACGGGATCCATATTATAGCCCGCCCTCTGACGACAAGCTACTTTTTTAGGCGATATTTATAATACAAAATCATTAAAAATTATATATTAAAAATTGTGTCATTGATTCGATTAACAGACGTTCACCCGAAATGAAAACTCTTTCATCACTGAAGGTACAACATACAAAG